GACATCCTCGGAATTCCTGCGCGCGGGACGCGATGCGCGCGAGACATCCTGGGAATTCCTGCGATCCGGACGTGGAAACCAGCATTTTACCTGAGACATCCTCTGAATTCTGGCCTCCCACGAGGCCCCCGCTCGAGACGTCCCCTAATTTTGCAAAACCAATGTTGCGCTCGAGACATCCTCAACAAATTATGGAAAATTTGCAAAACCAGCGTTTCGCTCAAAACATCATCAACCAATTATACAAAAAAAGCATCTCGCTCTCAAGACATCCTCAAAATTCCTGCGCGCGGGACGCGGCGCGCGCGAGACATCCTCGGAATTCCTGCGCGCGGGGCGCTTTTCCGCTTCGCGGTCGGCTCTGCAAAACCAGCGTTTCGCTCAAGAAATCCTTAACACATTCTGAAAACAAGCGTTTCGCTCGAGACGTCCCCAACTCTGCAAAACCAGCGTCTCGCTCGAGACATCCTCAACCAGTTCTGAAAAACAAGCGTTTCGCTCGAGACATCCTCCCAATTAATTCCGCCAGCCCACCTCGACCTCGATATGTATAAAAGGAATAATTCCGCCGGCCCACCTCAAATCAGGTCCGGGGGTGAACCTCTAAAAGAGAACCCTGGGCCTAAGCCCTTTCCGGGAAAAAAAACTAATTCCGTCGCGCATGTGCCCCAGGGCTTGGCGACGGGGGGGGCGCCTAAGCCCATCGCCGCATGCTGTTTCCCGGCGCCGCCCGGCTGTCCAGCACGTCACTCCCGACCTCGATTCCCACCAAGTCTTGCCCTACCTGCAGCGTCGGGCCGAAGAGCGGCATAAACCTTATTCACCTCCTCGGCGCTCGTGAGTGCCGGCCTCCATTTGCCTGGCGGGCAGAAGTATCCTTACTAGCAGAATGCATGTATTCCCTAGGGCGGGGGCCCCTGGCGCAATCTGTCCCCTGTAGGGCCAGTCCCCTTGAGCGCGCCAATTGGTCCATCAGGAGCTTCATTACTGCTCCGCCCTCCCGGCCCAACTCCCCGCGAACGATGACGTCGGTGAGGTGGTCGATGCGGGAGGCCGCCCTGAAACCCTGGCGCCGCGAAGCGGCTGAGGCTGCAGCAGTAGCCGTCGGGGTAGCAATATTGCGCCCGCCATTCCGCGATGTCTTCCACTTCAGCCGCACCCCGGTTTCGAGGGCATCCCCCGCCATCACTTGGTCCATCGTCTGCGTCCACTCGTCGGCTGCGGCGTCCGACCATGCCAAAACTTGTCCACGCTTGACCGCCACCAGTTGCGAGCATACCTTCCAATAGTGGTGCAGGCACATGGGGCTGGCCACCTCGAGTATCATAGCGTCCTTCGCCACGAACATGGAACGCATGCCATAGAACGAATCCGCCGGGAGGGAGGTGCGGCGGAGGTACCGCATCTGCATGACAATGTACAGTTCCGTCTGGGAGGCGGGGAACAGCAGGTCGATGCATGCCCGGGGCACGTCGGTCGTGCTGAGGCTGCTGCGACGCGGGTGTCGGCAGATCACCTCCAACATCTCGTCGTGGAGAAGTGCACGCATCAGCTTGGGAAGATCCGTAGCCCGCATGTCCACTGTGACTACCCGCGCTTCCTGCACCTGTAGAAAAGGGGCCTGCTTAGAGAACGTACGTAACGGGGACCAGGGCCCGTCGTGCCGGAGAGCGAAGATAGCGAGACCCATGCGGACATGCCTTGGGCCGCTGTTTCGGGGCAGCACCATCTCATAGGGCGCCACAGAGAAGGCGCACTCTCGGACCAACGGGGTCCATCTCTCCCCCAAGAGTGGGCGTCATCATAAATTGGTGACACAACCAGTCGAGGTGGAGCCCATACCAGGCAATAGCGGGATCGCGACAATGAAGCGCACGGAGGCCGGCCGCTGTTAGGGGAGCGCTCGACGAAGTAGTGTTGCCCTGCAGTTGTTCGCTGCCCTGGTATCGCTGAGGACCCACAGAACAAGCTTCCCGCCCCGACGTCGGTCCCAAACGCGATCATCACCCTTGTCGACCATAGCGGCCCTCTCCCGAATGTCATTGATGTCGGCAGGAGAATCTGTACCAGCGCCTAATACATCAGACCACTGCGTCAGCAGGATCTCGTCTGCAGAAGAGCCAGAAGCTCGCACCAGCTGAATAGCCTGACTCCCCAGCTCCTGGTATAAAGGGACGGTGCTGGCCCTCATCCTGCGGCGCTCCCAGAGGACATAAATGAGTTCGCTTTCGCAGTGCCGGGCAGCTGCAAAGATGTCCTCCATTAACTTCTCCACCAACTGCATATCCGCCTCCGGCCAGTGGGCCTGGTCAGCCAGACTCCGTAGAAGAAGTGCGGTCCTCTCCCGAGCCGCGATGATCGTCTCTGTGGGGTCTGGCCCCTTATACATTGCGAGCCCAAGACGCTTCCAGGAGTCCTCTATGCGGGTGTCGTAAGCCACCTTGTGGAGTAGAGCCTGAAGCTCAGACCAGCCAGCAGGATACCGGATAGCGGCCTCATCGTTTGCCGTCCCAGCATGGGCACAGGCCCGCACGAGATCGAGATGCTGGACGATCTCCTGCTCCAGGGAGTCCTGCATGCCGCAGGATACGCGATTGTCCGAATTAAAGCCCTTCGTATTGCTGAACACGGAGGAAATCAGGATGAAAGAACTCTCGCTGTGCGTCGCTGAAGTCCACAGAGATTAAGACATCGAACTTCTGGACTTCGCTGATGTCCTGGGAGATTGGGGCATCGAACTTCTGGGATTCTCGCTAAAGTCCTGAAACATTGTGGACATGAGCTGGGCGGTTTCGCTGACGTTCTGGGAGGTTGAGAATTTGAATCCGGCGGCTTCGCTGATCTGGGATATTGTGAAATTAAACTCGGCGGTTTCGTTGATGTTTTAGGAGATTGGGAAATTGGCCCCCGCGGCTTCGCTGATGTTCTAGGAGATTGGGACATTGAAGACCAGGGCTTTCCTAGCGTCGCTGACGCTGGCGTCGTTGAGCAAATAGTTGCTAGGGTTTGCTGGCGTCGCTGACGCCGGCGAACCTAAACGGGTAATTGGGTAGCGCGTACAAGAGCTTGCTGGAATCGATGACGACGGCGGCGTTGAGCGGGTGTTTGGGCTTGCTGGCGTCGCGCGGAGTTGAGTGGGTATGTATTTGGGCTCGCTAGCGTCGCTGACGCTGGCGACGAGTAGCAGAAGCTGCAGGAAAACGCTGGCCTTGGATTCTGGTATGTATGGACGCGTCGCGGACGCCGTCATGCTAGTATGGACGGCCCGCATGCTGGAAAGGAAACATCTTTCCCCGCTGCAAGTGAGACAGGGAAAATCGCTGATGATTTCCCGGTGAGCGTGCAGCGCAATCACTTAGCTCACACGACAAAGGGCCCTGACATGTTTGGGCACAGATGGCAGCGCGGAGAGGGGGTCAGTCAGAGATGGACAAAGGCAGCAGGGAAGAGACAGGAATCACGAGGACGACGAGGGAGGATGCAGGAGGGAGGCAGCAGTGCAAGAGGAGGAAGCAGGGTCGCAATCGCCACACCCTCTTCGGTCCCGCGCCCAGGGGCATAAAAGCTGTGCGGGGCCTCTTCCTGCCCCCGAGGCCTCGGGCTGGGTTCTCGGACAAGGAAAATGGGACAGCGGCAGAGCGTCTGGCTGGCAGCCCAGGGCCGCCTCGGACTTCGATACGCTCTCGAAGGTGCTCAGGGAACGCTACTACAATCGAACGTTCGGGCAGCGTGGTTCCGGCCATCGTGGAATACTGCGCTACAGCGCCGAGCAACGCGGAGCCCGCAGGGTTGACCACCTCGGCGAACCCAACTACGGCCTCAAGTTCTACAATTGGCATGGGTACAGCTTCGAATGAGGCCTAGAACGCAGAGTATTGCTACGAACGCGCCCGCTACCAAGATGGACACCCAGAAACATATTGATATGACGAGCGGCAACACGCGTCGGAACAAGAGGGGTCGGAAGACCTATCGACGAGAACATGAAACATCTCAACGAGCTGAACCAGTCGACGCTGATGGCTGCTGAAGTTATCCAAGCTTTTGCCTCAGGACAGACAACTCAGGCTTTCGCTCATGGGCTAGCACGCATATGTGGCGTTTGTTACGACGGGAGGCTCATGTCCGCCCGGAAATAACAAACGGCGAACCGTCAACATAGCTTGGACTCGGCGACAGCTGTCAAGCTGTCAACAGCGACCATGACGCCGCCGAGGCGTCAACTGGCGATGACTCATACAGACCATGCTGCGACATCGTAGACGTCGGTCCCCATGAACTAAATGCCCGATCGCCCGATCACAAGGTGTGTGGGCCACGAGGCCCCCACGACAGACACCGCACAAGCTGCAGAAATGTCACAGGTGTTCCGTTCCATGGGGTAACTTCCACCTTGTGTGAGTATCGTTTAACCGATCCCCATCCCCAGCGGCGTGGCCTGGTCCCCACTGGCCGATTTGCCCCCCTTGATGGGGATATAGGTCGTTCCCTTCGGGTTTCGAGGGGTGTATCCCCAACTGGGGCGGTAATTTGGTGGGGGTCTCGAAGGGGATGGGGATGGGGATCGGTTAAACGATACCGATTGTGGGCTCCTGTCAAGGAGATCCCGTGGTAGGGCGAACGAGCGAGCCAGGTCAAGGCAGCAACGAGGATGTGTTGGGCCCATGCCGAACTCAAGTGCACGTATCTACTTCACTGAAACCTCCTCTCATCTCTCTCTCCCTCTCTCTCGGTCCGTCTCTCTCTCTCTCTTCCTCTCCCCTTGACCTCCCTTCTCCGTTGCCTTGTGGGCTCGAGGGAGGCACAACGCATGGCAAATATCCCGTTGACTGAAGAACCAGGCGCGCGACAACCGCTCGAAGGCGAAACGCGATAAACAGCATCGATACAACATTACTATACGTTAGCCCGGCACTAATCCTGTCACAACTTGTGTTCCTACAAGCACAGCTCGTACTGTTAGCATGCCCGCGTGAGAATGTTCAAACATCCCAGGAGTCCTATCAACGGAAGATCCCACAATCAATACGGATTGGAACGGGCGCCAGCTTGTCCGCGTCAGCTTATCCAGCGCTACTTGTTCCTGAGCAGGAATATGGCTGCGTCGACCCCGCCTGGGTCCAAATGCATGTGAGACACGATGCCCCAGGGCTACAACAAACCAAATATCCAATGATGTACTTCCTGAAATACTTTCGGGAACGTTTTCTGACACCTTCAGGCCCAGGTCACGGAGACATGCACAATATACGGTGCACTCTGGCTACCAGGTCCTCCCCAAATCAGGGCCAAATTCACCCATTGGGGGGAGGGGGGGTGTCTTCATCCAGTCGGACACGGAAGCAATGTCCTGGACAAACCAAGCGCCTGGTATTCCGAGAGGACCGCCGGGGGGTGCGTTAGCCTCATGAATCAAGGACGTTGCAGCATGGATCCGCAAAAGCAAACCCACACATCTGAGCGTGTAGGAAGCAGAGGCCATGTGAAACACTTCTTGTCTTAATGTGATGCAAGACTTAGAGTCAGGTAGAGTAAGGAGTAACGTGCAAAAGAGGCTAAAACTGCCTCGGAAGAAGATATGCCGCTTGTGCGCGCAGGATTCTCAACGGGCACATAGTCGCCTTTGCTTCGCTGATGCGTCGAGACCACCTCTCGACATGTTAAAAACACGATCACATCGATCCGAACATCCGATCCCCCGATGATGCAATCTGATCAAGCTGAACACCTGAAACACAATACGCTTTTTCACATCGTGTTACTGGCTACGTCCGAAATCAGCACTACCACGATTGTCGCCACCGCTACCAAGCATGTGATCTGACTGCGGTCTGGATCACACCCGCCGATGGCAGCCCCATCACAGCCCGACCGAGTGATCGATACAAGCCGATCATGAGAACACAAGCAGCCGATCAGGTGACCAGCTATCGCGTGAATCGGCCGACAGCAATAAACACCAAACAATGATCATGCGATCGGCCAACCTTGCTGCCACTCATGCTAGCTCTTGTCGCTGAGGGCGCGTAAGGTCCAACCCACGATCTGCCCCTACAGCCTAGACGCCCGCGGCAATATCAATGCTATTCCAGTCAAGCAGAACGTCGCCGAAAGTGCCGCCGATCCCTCCGCCGAGCACTGACTTACGCTAGAATCAAAGAGGGAAGCACAAAGACAGACGTCTGAAACCTGCAAACTTGCGTCACGTCTTTGAGCGGGTCCGATCGAGGACATAGTGAACTTCGCTCGCCCCTGACAAAACAATTAGACATGTGATGTCGCACGGGATCCCAGGATCCTGATTTCTGGCCGCCTTCGCCAGATTCAGAGATGCAGCTCGGGGCATGCTGTTCGGGACATTCAGAATCTAGCACATACGACGTCATCGCTGTCAGATGTCGCCGCGCCGTCGAATACGCATCCATTCTTCCTTGGCATGACGGAAGCCAATCCTGATGGAAGAGGGCCCTAGACACTGCGATCTCCCCCCGAACACTATTTCGTCCTGAGCCCTTTCGGCCAGTCCCAAGGTCTGTGGAGGGCCCCGAGACCATGGAAACGTCCAGGAACCTCAGGACTCGGCTCCCCCAGGACCCCCTTCCTCCATGGCGGCCCATCCCTTCCCCGTTCGACCACCCAGTGAGGCGGGCAGTGGAAGAACGAGCTCCTGTTAAAGGCAGGGCTACATGATGGTGTGCGGGGTGCGCAGTTCAAGCACGACGAACCTCTTTAGGGAATCTGACTCTGCTTCGGGCCACCCCTGTCCGCACTCCACGCCTCGAGGGGCCCAAAGACACACAAATAAGTACACACAAATCCCAGGATTCCCGATACTTGTTTCCGTATGTTCTGGGTTTTCGTCTTCCCCCCCACTTCCCAGACTTTCCCGCATTTTCCTGGGAGTCGACGATTACCTGTGTCTGTGCGTGTTTTTTCCCTCCCGAACGCCGCGCGGTGCGCGGCTGTCTTCGCGCTCTTGCGCCGCCGTCTCCCTGCCCGGCCCAGGACGCGAGGCGCGCGATCCTCTTCGCGCCCCCCGCGGGAGACTCAACCAACAACTGGCGCCAGCCGCCAGCCCCTCCTCCGCCATTCGGGGAGAACGAAAGGGGGGATAGCAAAGGGTAGGGTAGAGAATCAGCTCACGTAATTAGCTGATTTTCCCAGCGACTCCCGGCGCCGGGAGGCGCCCATGTATCGAGGAATGGGCCCGGCGGCGGGGCCGAAACCAGCTGCATGCAGCAGATTTCGTAACCCACCCCTTTCCCTATCCCACCCTTTCGTTCGGCCCGAGCCATGTCTCTAACACCTGTCAAGCCATCACACGTTCCGTGAAGCTGTTTCTGGCCTTGGCCAACTGTTCCAACACTGCCCCCTTCTTAATTACCCGCCGACGCGTCGTAGGCACCTCGTGCAATGCCATCAAATCTTCAATCGACATTTGTAGTGAATATTTCATGCACCAGGCTGGGGTGCTGGGCGTGCCTAACAAGAGGACGAAGAGGATAGACGGGGGTGGAGGAAGAGAGCGGGGGAGGGATTGAGGGAGGGGAGGAGACAGAAGGACACAGCAATGTGGACCTAGCGAAGGGGGGAGACACATCCGAAACCGTGGACTTTCAATAGGTAGCCCGTGAACTCTCGATCTCTTCCCTGGGACTAGTTCTTCGTCTCCACTCGTTTCTCGCTTGTCCCCAGGGCCCAGACACGGTCCCTGGAGGGCAAAATCTGCAAACGGAAACGGCAACGCGTCGCTTAGGCCCTACTGCCAGCCCAGCCGGCGACATGAATCGAGCGTGGCCCTGCAGAATCTGCAGAGGGCATTTGCCACGCGTATGGTGCGCCATAAGCTGCAACAACCACGGGTTACGCCGTGGGCTGCACCATCCGTGGGTTGCGACACCAATTGCGCGATCCCCAGGGTTCCGTCATCTACGGATTCCGCCATGCTCCACCCATGGGTTTCGCCACAAGCTGCGCACGCGGCGGCCGCAAGCAACACGGCCTAGTACTGATTGAGCCATTGGTTGTGCACTCGGCGGCGGGGAATAATGACCTGGGGTATGGGTTACACCACAGAGTTCCGCACTCGGCAGCTGACCAGTATTTGTTGGGCCATAGGTTGTGAAATCGGCAACCGAGAATGCAACGGCGTGGTGTTGTTTGCGTCAAAGGTTGCTGGCTCGCCGGCCAATAAAAGAACGCCCTGCTATCGCCTAAGGTTGCGCACTCGGCGGCCGCGAACGAGACGGCCTGCTGTGAGTTGCGCCATGGGATGCGCACTCGACGGCCGACCATAAAACAGCCTGCTATTGGTTGCGCATTCGGCTGATAATCCGCCGACCCCCGCTTGCCAGGGGTGGCAAGGCGTGTGAGACTTTCGTGCCGCGCTTTAGAATTCGGCAGGGGCGTCGGCAAAAGATGTCCCACGAAAGAGACGAACCATTGAAGAACGTGGGAGCAAGTCCAATCTGCCTCGAGAAACATCTGGCTACGCCCCAGAGGGGGGCGGGGGGAAACGCGGCGATTGAAACCATCAAGACTTCGGGAAGAAATGGAAAAAATATCGAGGAGCAGGGACGGAGGGGGGAGCAGAGCGATTGGGGAAGGAATGGGTTCTGAGCACAGGCTGGAGGGAGGGGTGCAGGGGGCGAGATGAGGATGGGAAGCCTCCTCCTCCTCCTCCTCCATCCTCTTCCCGTGCTCCTCTAGGCGGGGCACGATTCGTCTCCTCGCCCCTCCTCCTCATCCCCCCCTTTTTCGTCCGCTTGTTCGGTCAGCCAGGTCAAGATCGGGTGGCGAACAACACGAAATCGGGGTGGAAATCGCGCTACGCGTCACCATACCCCCTGGCACGCTGAGGCATCGTATATTTCCCAATGCTGTCTGGTAGGGCTTCTGTCATATTATCCCCCCCCTCCTGGTCATGCTGACTTGCGTGCATCGCCCCCGCGGATTTCTGCGCGGCCAGACGCCTGATTGCCACCCTGCCGAAGGTCCTAGATGCCGAAGACAGCTGCCAAGACGGCTCAGAGACCTGGGCCGCCAAGATGGCCAACTATATACGCCTCCGACGTGGCTCAAGATGGCCTCAAGACGGCTCAGGATGGCCTCAAGACGGCCCAAGAACCTCCAATACTGTCCAACAGGGTTCCAGGAGGACCTCCAGGAGGCCCCGATCAGGGCAACACTACGCATGTTCAACCAATTACTTGGTGATTGTCGCGTTCTCGCCTTTTCGGGCTTCCGTCCCAAGAAGCCTCCAAGATGGCCCCAGACGGTTGAAGAGACCGCCCAAGACGACCCAACTGGCCCTCAATCTGGCCCAAGATGTCTCCAAGATGAACCACGGTGACCCCGAGACAATGCGTCCAAGATGAACCACGGTCCCCCCAAGACGACCGCCCCAATAGGGTCCCGATACGAACTCCAAAGAGAATGGTCTGCCCAACAGAGCCCTCGTAGGGTCAATGAGTCCGCGACAGGCTCCGAGAAACCCCCAAGACGTCCTCAAGAGGCCTCCGGACGGCCCCAAGCGAGAAGGAAGAAGAAGTCAAGTCAAGTAAGCACTGCACTCGCCGGTGCGTGAGCAAAGTGAAACATGAAACAGGCGGGCCGCCGGTCCCACTAAGGTGACGCAGAGGAGGAGATGAAGGAGGAGGAGGAGGACGAGGAGGAGGGAGAAGGAGAAGGAGGAGGAGGAGAAGGAGGAGGGAAGAAGACGAAGGGGGAAAACGACGATGAACACGAAGAGAGACACACCGACGCGATGCGGAACACCGTCTCAACTGTTACGGCTCTCCGAGGCCTCGGGACGCGAGGTGTCGCTCGTGCCGGCCTCCTGTGCGCTCCTCGACCAGTCGCCACCCCGAGTGTTAGGTCGGGCCTGTCGCCCTACAGGGGGAGTTTGGGCGAAAAATCAAAAATACCCCACAAATATTCTCAAAGTGCTCAAATAGTTGAAAGGTTCACCCTGTAGAGGGACAGGTTCGACTTACCCCGAGTGCTGAGCTGGCACCGTGGCGGGACTTGCCGCAGACAGCTGGATTGGATGTGGTTGATTGGGACGAGGTGAGGAAGGCCAAGGGCCAGGATGGGAATCTGATGACTAATACCTTCAAGCAGTTCAGACGGAGCCCTCCGAATCACAGGGAGTTAACAGAGTCTAAACAAGGGCCTTGTCAGTGCAGATTTTCCTCCGCTGGCAGCTGGACTGGATGACTTGCCGAAACCGAGACAGAATGCAACACAATCCTCATCCCCCTCCTGGCACGAAGCAAACAAGTCCTCAGAGACATGGATCAAGGATCTTGGGAACTTCCACAAGACCAGCTTTTAATCCTGAGCCGATGGAGTGCTTCCCAAGGCCCGAGAGCGGCGAAAAGGCGTCACAACCTCGACGCCGAAGCTGAGTACGCCGCCGACGCCGACCCGGACGACGACGCCGACGCCGACGCCGACCCCGACGCCGACGACGACGCCGAC